GTCTAGATATATAGATAGAGAGAGAAATTGGATTTAACGTCCACTTGACTCAAACTGGGTCATTTCGGGACTAGCCAATGGTTCAAGTTTATTTCAACAATTTGCTTGCGCGTAGGGGTCTTTAGCAGTGGGAGGACACCTGAGGACCCAGAGAAAACCCACGAGGTTGGATAGGCGATCCTAGTCATTGTCACGTACAACCGGGGAATCGAAACCACGCCAGTTGACCCAATGACAGACCTTATGATTCAACGCACATTCGGTCATCCACCCCGGGGTGTAGATATTAGTTGTGTGACTGTATGTACAAGATATGTAGAAGAGAATATTGTTTTTATGTAATCTGATCAGTCTCTACAGTCACACCAATCAAACAACCGTCTTTCCTTCAACTAGGGTTTTTTTCTAGAGTAGTTTCAAATAGCTAATTAAATGTTCGCATCTCAGTTCTTTGAGCGAATTCTGAGAGCTAAACGTTATTTCCCAAGGGAGACAATCGGACATCTGTTTTAAGCCGCAAAAAAATCGATATTTCCATTTGAGTCAATTGCCGATATTTTAAGTGTAAGACTTAATGTATAATCAGTTGTAGGTTTGTTGTTTAGTGACTTGTTAATGTATCAGTTCTATACAAGAAAGATGCATTCCCACAAAAGGGTTTATAAACTAGTAATTTCCCAAAAAACAAGTATGGCAAATTTGGCACTCATTAATAAGGAAAGCAAAGACACTTGGACTCCCTAAATAAACAATACAAAAACATGGAGTGTACACAAAATGTAAGGCTATCAATAACTGGCAACCTGTCCGATCGGGTGACGTAGGAAGTGCCTGATATTTGTTGATGGAATGACAAGCGGCTGTGAGAACAGGCAGAGACTTAAACGTACAGTAGACTATGCGATTAAACGTACAGAAGACTATGCGACTAAACGTACAATAGACTATGCGATTAAACGTACAGTAGACTATGCGATTAAACTACAATAGACTATGCGACTAAACGTACAATAGACTATGCGATTAAACGTACAGTAGACTATGCGACTAAACGTACAGTAGACTATGCGATTAAACGTACAGTAGACTATGCGATTAAACCTACAGTAGACTATGCGATTAAACTACAGTAGACTATGGGATTAAACTATAGTAGACTATGCGATTAAACTACAGCAGACAAAGAATGTGACATACGATAGTCAAAGGATTTCCTTAAACTTCGATATGCATGGTAAATGGACAGCGATAAAGTGCCTCTGAACATGTTATATGAAAGGGCGCACTATAAATATGTTGTAATAAACTACGAATAAAAACTGACACGGGCCTCCCTTAATCAAGTCACGTGACAAACAACGGTAATTTCTAGACATTTAAAATGTTTTGAGAGGGATCTGAAAAAAAACCATAATAAATTAGTTTGAGTATGTTTTAGTCCAAATATATCATTAAATCAGATATTTAGTACGTGTGAAGTCCCCATCAATACGGTTACCTCTGACATACAGTCTTATTTTATAAATGATTTCTTACATTTTTGTGCGGTTAGGAGAAAACCCACGACGTTGGACAGGCGACCCTACTCCTTGTCACGTACAACCGGGGATTCGAAACCACAGTTTTATTTGGACATAATAAACATGCATTATGCAGGCTATAGATAAAGAGCTGACAGTTCTCGCTATAATAGTTTTAAAATAGATAATGAAAAGGGAAATGTTGAAAATTTCAGTCAAATTATTCTATTCTCAGCAAAGCTATGAATGTCTGTAGTCTCGATTTTCGAAGCAATTAAATGGCAACCATGTTAACATCTGTAAGTCCTCGGTTGATGCGGGCGGGTTGTGAATCAGTGCCCAATAAATATAAATCATTTTTTATATCAATATGTTTTCCCAGTGATAAATATCAAGTTAATTGTGTTCATTATTAACAGAAAATCAATTATTATCAATTTAATTATTTTCAATTTATTGATTAGATCAACTTGACTAATTAAGGGTATAATTACGTTAAAATCAATCATTATTACCAATTTAAAAACTGTCACTATGTTCATTAGATTAACTTGACTAAGTGAATATGAAAAAATACCCGTTGACTAATGCAAAGAGAGATCGTGGTCCAAATTAAAAAAACATATACAACATAACTTGTTAAGTAGGTAATTACAAAATCTTGGTATTACATACTTTAACACTATTTGTGTATAATGGGCGGTCATTTTGCCGGACAGTTTCGGTCCGATCTTTGGGTTATAAACATACATTTCAAATTTCGTCAAAATCGGATAAGAATTGTGACTTCTAGAATGTCCACAAGCTAAAAACGTGATTTTGCGTATAATCAGGTGAAGTTGCGGTCCGATACATGCCAATATCGCAAGATCCGATCGGATTAAAATTTGTGACCGGTAGAGAGAGAGAGAGAGGAGTTTAACGTCCACTCGACACAAACTAGGTCATTTCGGGACTAACATATGGTTTTAATTTTATTTCCATAATTCGCTTGTGCGTAGGGGTCTTTAGCAGTGGGAGGAAACCGGAGGACCCGGAGAAAACCCACGAGGTTGGAAGGCGACCCTACTCCTTGTCACGTACAACCGGGGATTCGGAACCACGCCAGTTGACTCAATGACAGGCTTTATGGTACAGCACGCACGTGCTAACCATTCGGCCATCCACCCCCCCCCCCCGACCGGTAGAGAGTATTCACAAACAAATATGAACAGACGGATAGGGGGGGACGACAATAATAGGTCCACATGAAAATGCGGACGTTTTAAAATGAAGCGGCACACTGGATGTGGGGCGTTTTATAATGTGAAGGCGTGGATACGACAAAATACATGGTTTAATCTTTGCGTTAGAGTAGTACCGGTGTATGACGAAGATACCACTGAAAAGCGTTATATACCATATTATTTATGCAACTTGGTGTGGATTTTGTCACATGTTCCAATCTTTGCTTGTTCTATACCCGAAGAAACATAGAATTACGCAATTTGTCATATCTTTGTCCTATTTATGCAACTTCGTGTGGATTTGGTCACATGTTCCAATCTTTGCTTGTTCTATGCCCGAAGAAACAAAGAATTACGCAATTTGTCATATCTTTGTCCTTGGCGAAGATAAAATATGAGTTTCAGCCAGCAAACTGATTGTCGAAAGCACATTTTTTTTCTAATGTGTCAATCCGACAACACAAACTAAGAGATTGATCAAGTTATTAATTCATCTTGTGCTGATATTTTAATGTCACCAACGAACAAAACCCATGATTATTAATATGGACGTATCTTTATTCCAGGGTTTTCTTAAAATCGCGTTGTATTAATGCGCACAAATTGAAATACGAAGGTATAAAAAAGTCAACAACATAGCCGAACAAAACAATTTGGAGGCAGACCACCCATAAATTGTAGTTCGTCTGTTTATAGCAATTCTCTCTCCGTCCCTTTTCTCCCCTTTTGCATGCCCATTTTTGTTGATGTTTTGGTATAGAATGGACAACGAGGGTTTGAATTAACATTTTCTGCCAGGTTTTGGTACATATTCACGATTTTGAGGCGGAAGGATAACAGAGTTATCAGGTTAATTGGTTACGGTGATATGTACGGCGAATAGTTACATGTTTTAGTATGCTTCTTCAAGTTAGTGTATCTCAAAATTTTGGTCGTCAACCTCATACAAATTTTAGTGCAAAGACATGACCATTTGTTTCAATGAGGTAAAAAGCATTCAGTCCAACGACAATTTGGGGAAAAGTAAGAGCAGGGCAAAGAGGCCAAAATTAACATTAAGTAAATGGGGAAATTAATGGTGGTCTGCCTCCATTTAGCATATAAGAGTTATCTCCCATAAAAAACAAATTCGGTGTCCCGAGATAAAATTTCTATACAATCTACTTGGGTGTATGAATATTATTCAAATTCTGTAAAATAAACCAAAAACAATCTAACAAACTATATTCATCATATTAGCACAAATCCCAGAAACTCTTCATTTGATTATGTTAAAGGCTCAATACCACTCTTGTTGTAACTTAATAATATGTCCCAATCTTTATTCTGGTCAACAAATTGTACTATTTTAAAATATTCCAATTAATTGATGGTACAAATTTCATCTTAACACACCTAATTTAAAAAATTGGAAAAATTCAACTAAATGATTTGAAAAGCCTGACGTAAAGGTTTTCAAATGTGACTTGGATTTAAAAATATTTTTGAACCCTTTGGACAAGTAAAATAGGATTTAATGGATAATTTACACAACAGGTAGGACACTAACACATCTAGTACTTAGAATAAGGCTATTTTTTTATTTTCTGGAACTGTCAAGCCAGCAAGAGTGTTATTGTCCCTAGCAATTCAAATAAGTAAAACAAAATGGGTGCTTAAAGACCGTTCTTGTATAGGCCTACTTGATTTGGGGCCGTGGTGCCCCGGAAAGTAAAACGCGGTTTGATCCTGATGTGATCTACAATGAGGCCTAATAGGGCACAGGTTCCAGGATCATCTACATCCGGGGCTGCCCACAACAAATGTCAGTCGCGTAAAATTCAGTGACTGTAGGCTTGACTCTGGAGTGAAGCCGGCGAGCCCAAGTCTCCCGACCCCAGCTTGTTCCGGACAAGTTTGTTGTCGAGAGTGACCCCCCCCCCACCCCACCCCCCCCACCCGACTCACAAAGTCGTTGTCAAGAGTCCCCCCCCCCACCACCCGGTTAAATCACAGTACCCCACCCGGCAAACACACCTTAGTCGGTTTAAGTTGAGGACTGCGGCGATGACGTCATGCTTGATTTTAAGCCTGTATATACGATGTAGCAGGTTTAAAACTGGACCGACACTGACTGACAGAGATCTATCTGTATGTAGTACATTGGTCATCAAATTCTGATCGAAAACAGTCCAGTTATTACCCGTGTTTATCTTTTTTCCAATTCAGATTTACTTTTAAATAAATATAACACACAAAATAAAGCAAGTCATCGTTCTTTTTGAAAAACAGTTTATTTTCTAACGTATAACTCCATTTGTTGAAAATTTAAAAAGTAAAAAGTTTATCTAACAAAAAATCTTTTGTTCGTCTTATTTAAAATCAATTTTAGTTGCCCCATTAATTTCGACTAGTATTCTTCTGGGGATATATATATATATATATATATATATATATATATAAGATTAGCCAAAGTTAATACCTATCCAATGGATTGTATTATATTAAAAAGCAATAACGGTTAAAAACATGACGTAATGTACGTTTGTTTCGGGAAGCTGTTTTCAAAAATAGAAAAACCCTCGTGCAAATATAATGTTTTCATATCCCCAAATTTGACCTTAATAACCGTATTTGAATACCGTACACCTAAATGTACAGTTCTAAAATACCAACTTCGAATAAATTTAATTCTTTTTTTGTAAAAAATAACCAAATAATTTGATTCGTCGATATGAAAAATGTTTTATATACAATGTTTTTTTTTATGATATATGTACAGTTCAATTGTTTTTTTCTCTAAGCTTTGGCTGTCCAATAGAAATTATTGTCATTTAGACCCAAATTTTACCGACGCCCGGTATATTCCTCAAGCTTTGAGACAGAACATGAAAATTGGTCATGTATTATCTATCACGTCAGCCATATTATACTTTGTACACTAATAATATTTAATTTAAAATATTACAACAAGTCCTTGTATAAATTATGAATATCACGTGATCAAGCTTTACACTCACACATCTCATTCATACCAAATATGGAATTTGTTTATACTAAAATCCTAAATTGTGTCAGTGTAATGGGACTATATATTAAGTGCTGGTGATTTTCCGGTTCTAATAACATCGAGAATACGATGATTAGAATAAGCATATAGTCTCAATGGAACAGATCGTATTTCTGAAGAACCAACCGCGCAATTTGGATCGTTAAGTCTATATTTAGTGCTCAATAAACGTAAAATGATTTAATTCCATCACATTCATTCTCTTATAGGAGATTCAAAATATTTCATACATAAGAAATTTCACTTAGTGAAATATTCTATAAAATGAACCACCTATTCTCCGATAAATATTAACAGACTTAAAACCTGGCTTGGTTTCTCTCTGCTAATAATATGGATGAAGCTGTTGAAAAAAAAAGTTTTGTTCCTTTAAAGTCGTTTGATTTTAAGCTTCCTCTCCATCGGGTGTGTATTCATTGGTCATAGGAATTTTTTCGATAGAATTCATGGCTTCTGTTGCTGAATTCGACTGGTAAATATCATCCAATATGTGGACTTTTGATATGTCTTCATTTTCACGTAGTTGGTGTCGTTGTAGTCTCGGTTTTAGTAACTCGGTGATTCTCTGAAAATAACATCGAATAAAGGAATAAATACGAGCTGTTTATTCTATTATTTGCACTTCCCCATGTTTGAGTTAATTGGTCAAATGAGGTTTCAACGACTAAATCTATTTGTTAAGGCCATCTCAATTTTCGTCAAGGTCGCCGATATGTAAATAAGGTTAGTGCAGGTAATTGTTGGCGAGATTGTAGGTTAGGGTAAGCATAGGGCTAGGTCCAGGGTTAGGTTTAAGAATTTGGGCCTTTATTGACAAACCCCATACACTTACCGTCTTGAATGAACCTTTAGCTTTCAATAATTTAAACACCATTACAATTGGTATAAATACGATAGAGACCAGTGCCATACACCATCCAATACCAATAGCCCATGTAGGATAGGTATACGTCACTAATTTACGTTTATACGTCAGCTCGGAATAACTGATGGTACCCATGATAAATATCGTCTGAAATCAAATGAAAATAATTATAAAAATATTCATACGTCCACGGAAATGCTCATTTTAAATTCATCACAGAAAGAACATGTTTTTAAATTAATTGACAGTGAGGGCCATAGATATGTATGCCTTTTATTGTAGTATGAACGACTTATTTTAAGCTGAGAGCCACGGATACTAATTGGGTTAGACGATGGCTCGCTAGCCTTGAAGTCGCGTGTTCGATCCCTACATTGGCCGAGAAAGTTCACTGGGATTTTCCGGCGTGTTTCTCCTTGCCAGTGGTGCAGGGCGGAGGGCTTGACAAGGACAGTTGTCTAGTCGTTCGGACGGGACGCAAAACCGAGGTCACGTGTACGTAAAAGATTTCCTGGCAGTTGGAATTCGATATTAGACAGAAAGCTAGAACAAGAAATTGAATTTTGAAATAAGCACGTTAGGTAGCTCAACAATCGTTTTAAGAACCTTGTAAAAGTAAAATGAAACTACTGCTAGTATCATGTTCCTGTCTAACCCGCGTGATTCAGAGATATTATTTGTACTAAACCAAAAGATGCCGCTCTTAACGGTACAGTTAATGATAAAGCGATTTAAAAAATGAAACGAACGTAATTTCTAAATCTGCTGTAATAACCAAGAAGCTTAATTTCACTGCTATTCAAAATCGTCAACAATAATTTTTTTACTGCTGTAATAGTTGATAGATTTGTAGAGAATTGCACGTGCCATGGCTATGTATAGTATCATACTGTCAGAAAGTTGGCCTCGACACGGCGAATGTGCACGCTTCAGTGGTAGTCTCGAACTATCAGCGGTGGACTTTATTTCTGTAGAGTACATGGGTCACCCTACCATTGACATCGCTTACAATTTGCCTAATATAATCTACCGTTTGCGCTATATATAGGTTTAGGACTTTCGCGGACAAACATAAATAAGATTGTGTGGTGATTATTGCAGCTTGGGATGTTGACAAGATTCTTTTGAATCGCCATCAGGTAAGAAATTAAACCCAAGACAGTTCGTGACCGGTCAATATCCCATATTTTTACTCACCAAAGTGAATATAGGAGTCAGAATACACCATGCGATTTTAATGAATGGACCGGGTCGGAATCCCAACATCATCTGTATATTATCATAAAACCGGTTTATCCCTATTAAAAAATATAGAAATAATAAAGATTATAAACTATCCATGGAGTTATTGGTACCAGGAAATATAAATCTGGCTTTCCTGGTTAAAACCATTCTCGTCAAACGAAATTTTGAATGATCTAAAAATAAAAGAACGATGGGTTACAGTAACACCTTTGTAAAGCATCATGTTGAGTAATAAATGGTTCTTTTTTTCAATATTGCCAAAGCCAACTCTAAACCTTTATTCGAAATTAGTCTTTACCTTTTTAAAATTCAAATTATACTCCTTTATCGGTTTTAAGCAATTTTCCTAAAAGTACCTACTAATTTATTATCAAAAGAGGGGAAAACGAAAAAATGGAGAACCAGAGTGTCTGTGAAACAAGTTGCACTACTAAAACCATTTTTTGTTGAATTATCTAATAAACTATTCCGTGATAGCATGCAATTATCACTAATTATCTCTGTGCCCTTCCAAAAAAATATTAACCCTTTTCAAACATCCGAAAATTCCATATTTCTTTATTAACACTACATATAGAAGGCCTGTGCCCAAGTGAAAATTATCCATCGGTCTAAAACGACTTTCCTATAAATCATGTCTACGTTATCATTCACTAGGCCTACAAGATTAACTGAATTTCACCTTCAATTTCATAGCCAACTTCGATATAAAAAAAAAATAAATAAAGTAAAAAAAAACATGGTGTAATTGTTACGAGAGTTATCTCCCTTTAAACCTCCTGTCTAACCAATCAAACAACACCCACATCAAATAGATGTTAAGTACCTACTATGATGAAAACCCTTTCACCAACAAACATAAGGAACATCATGCGTTAGATGAAATAAATGCATTTCACAATTAAATGTATCCCAGAAAAAAATCCACACTAAAGCAATTCATTCAAAATACAACCTTTTACCAAAACATACCGTAAATATAAGCTACCACTATACACTCGAAGAAAGCCACTATGAGAACAATTCGGCTGGCAGAGTAGTAGTCGAATAGCTGAAATACATACATCCCGCCCTAGGTAGGCGGGAAACTTCTTAGTATACATTCAAATATAACAATAATCAAAGCACCCATTACTATCATTGAAAGCATTTTAATTTTTTTGATGATGTTCACATTGTATGAACTTAATAAAAAAAATTTGAAATTCTACAAGGGTGCTTTTAATCGTTTTGTGATAACCTAATACATGGGGTAAATAAGACGTCTGAACTTACTTCGGTCACCATAGATAAACCAATACCAAATGACAATGTACAAACACCAAGAATCAATAGTTCGCGACGATGCCCTTGTCGGAACAAATGAGGTTTGAGATCTACAATGGCTGTAACAAAGCCCTCAACACCTACAAACTGAAATAGACAAAATATAATAAATAATGCAGCAGCCTAAACTAATTGTATTGGACCAGTAACAATTGTATATTTCTTTTTATAAACAGTATTTTATGCAGCCTATTTAATGGGATTGGGGAAGATGGCGTAGCCTATGTAAAACAAACGCTCCCTAAACAATACATGTACTTATAAATATTTAGAATAAACAATATTGTGTATCATTACAATGTGTAACATGTAAAATTAAGAAATGCCAGGTTCCCACTGTCGTGCGATGCGTTACGACAGGATTGTCCCTATTGAGTCCACGATCTGGTACGTGTAGTAGATCCGTTCAGATAGGTTTCGATACGTTTAACATAAATGCTACGACTGACCTCAAGATATGATAAGACCTGATAGGATCACCACGATTACTCCACGATTAAAACTATCATTTCAATCGTAACACGATTCGTGATAATGGAAACCTAGCATAAAGAACGACGTATTACACTGAAGACTGGCATTGTGTAGAATATAAACATACCTGACTGTCGAGACCCAATAATATAATCATACAGAAGAACAAAACAGACCACAGTGGAGCAACAGGCATTTGAGCTACAGCTTCAGGATAAGCTATAAAAGCTAAACCAGGACCTATAAAATATACAATATCTTGTTAATGACACGTTTTTAAATAAGATTCTTATTTATATTCCAATTTTTAAACAGAAACGAAAGTAATTAAAAGCGATAACCCATCCGTTTCTATATTCTACAAAAGGTGAGGACATACGTTAAGAAAAATTATATATGGGCCATAACTCCAGAAGAATTTAACGAAATTATTGAAATTAATTAGGATTAATCACCTCCCTAATGTAAACAATATATATCAATTTCAAAATAATCAGATGATCAATGTAGTTTGTAGAGTGTTCACAAGAAATTGTCGACGACGGACGGGGGCGACGACAATATACGACCACATTTCCATGGGGTATAAAAATGATCGGTTTTTGATCAAATTGTTATCAGTATCTAGTTACAATATAGAAACGGGTGGATCATAATTCAAATACAGGATTAAGATCATCTTATCCCGGATCTTGTATCTTTAGATCCCAAGATTAAAATAATAAGGTAGGATTAACCTTAATTATTCGTCTATATACTAATTTTGACAGGATCTGCTCGACTGTGACAGCATGTTTAACATTCAAACATGACTTGAAACAAAACCGTGGGCCTTCCATGACATGCATACAATGTCATACAATAATGTATTATGATTTTGTTGAATGAAGAATGCGGTAAGGTTTGCTCTACATCTTAGTAAACAACATTCCATTGGGCTATATTTATAATGTTGATAAGAACGTCTAGGTAAAAACAGGTATGACTAAAATAATATTCGTAAATAATTATTTTCTAGGCAAATTCACATTGCTTGTAACACGAACATGCAGCACAGCATTGTCCATCAGTCATAAATACAAATATATACAACAACACTGTATAGTTTCGTATTTACCAGGGATTTGACTTTTTAGTTATTTTTGGTAGAATCACGTCACATACCGAGCCAAGAAACAACACTCGTGGCGGAAATCACAACAAAACAACGTCTGTTGTGACGAAATAGGTAACCGAATTCTCATTGGCAGTAATCGGAGAGCTGGTGTTCTCTTTAAAGTCTGTTTATCATAGTGGTAACCATGGTGATGCAAAGGTCAAACACAGGCCCAACGAAATCGAGACATGTAATCAACTTCACCTGTCAAACACGTAGGCAGTTATTAGCATGCCATATTGTTTTTAAACATCACTATAGTCTACTGCTTACTCCATCAGGGTTTATGAGAGAGAGAGAGAGAGAGAGAGAGAGAGAGAGAGAGGGAGGGGGGAGGGAAAGAGAGAGAAACCGTGTCGGTTATAACTTTAAGATCAGTCATTAAGTTAAATGGCGTGGTTTCGATTCCCCGGTTGTACGTGACAAGGGGTAGGGTCGCCTGCCCAATCTCCTGGGTTTTCTCCGGGTCGCCCCACTGCTAAAGACCCCTACGAGCAAGCGAAATATTGAAATAAAAATTGAACCATGTTAGTCCCGAAATGACCTAGTTTGTGTCGAGTAGAAGTTAAACCCCATTTTTCTCTCTTTTTCCATCAACAACAAATCGGTAGGTTTGGTTTCATAAACATGTACTACACCCCTCCATAGGTAATAAGAGTACATAACCTGCGTCACGATGACGTAGGGTCGCATTAACCTGAGCCTACGTAATTGTAAAAGGTAGACGGTATCTCTCACATCTGCATCTGTTAGAACATAGATAAAGTTTCTTTATCCTGTAATATTAATACCACATGTCCGTCTACTGACCTGATTCTGCAACCACTGAAATGTCGACATTTTGTTGTTTAGCCATAAAACCTAGCACAGAAAAGGTCACAAATCCTGCTAGAAAACTGGTACCACTATTCACAGCTGCAAATACTACAGTATCCCTGTATATAAAATAATATTACATCACTATCATCCTGTATTTCATCATCACTATAGGAACTACTGTATTTACAGAACTATGCATTTCTGAAAGGACTTATCACTACAGGCCCCATTTCCTACTTTACAAATTTAAAGGATCTAAATCGCTAATCTTTGGGACCTAGAAATTGACACAAATGAGTCGTAACGCATAATTATGTAATATGAATGTATATAAATTGATTTAAATTCAATCATTTCTGTTTTACTGTAATTTCTAATCAGTTATGTTCGGAGAAATACGCGAAGAGTCTGAATTGAATGGCAATCTGGCTATTCCAGTCTACACTGGTAGTATTCTCGTACATGGGATATGTTTAGCCTCATTCACCGAGTCGCTTCATACAACTGGCGCTCGAAATATTCTGGCAAACGATTCGTGTGCCAATTTTAAATTTTTTTATTTCTTCTTAAATATTAGATATCAGAAGCCCAAGTTGTTTGCAATGTTTAAGACTGTGGATGATATTGAGATAAGCTTAAATCTTGTATGTCAATAAAAATCCCAAACATTAATTATGTGGTCTTGGTCGAAATATCAACACGTCTCTTATTAATACTTATATTCTGGTTACATGAAAAATTCCATTTCCGTTGCTTTATTGACCATATACTAATATACAGTTCAGACGCTTATTTTTAAACCAGTTCAAAATCGCCGGGGTTTTTAAGACAGCATCGTGTTGCGTTCACACGTACTATATATAAGCCAAACCAGTTTAACTATTCTGACCTCTTCGGTCGGGGGTTAGAGTTAACTACGCATGGGTAGCTTCATATTCTTTATTCGGTTCTCGCACGCTTTCGATAACATTGGCACTGTCTGACCCCGATATATTCACAGGAATGTAAGTTACTGCGTACTGCGCATGCTCAAAGCAAGCTGGAGCCGGGGTTTTTAAGCCAGCCAGTTCAGACGGCCAAGATGAACCAGTTTAAAATAAAATGTCTTCTCGGAGACAGGTCGGGAGCTTGGTTTTTTTAAACTGGTTTATTTGCCCCACATTTGCGTTCAGACGACCAAGTTAGTTTTAACCAGTTCAACTTAAGCGTCTGAACGGGCTATATAAGCTGAACACCACGTATTCGTCAAGAAACGACTTAACACTAATCTAAAATTACAATAAAAATTTATTCCTATTTCTTAAATTATTATTAAGGCTAATGTGTTTAAAATTATATTAATTTCGAATTAACATACCTGTAACAGTTATGATGGAATTTGTTGTAGCTACCTAATGCCGTAAGTGTACCAAGACTGATGGAATAGGAGAAAAATATTTGTGTACCTGCATCAACCCATACCTAGAAAATAAAATTAAATATTTAACATATCGATCTCGCCTCCATTACCAGTTTTCTTTTGTCGTACACATACATTCATATAGCGTGTTGAACCATATGGCTTATCTAGAATCATTTTAAATAAAATATAAATTGTACCAATAGATGAAAAGGAATATTTCAATACGGGAGAATATATAGTCTGTTAAATGTTATACTGGTAAATCAAATAGCAATTCTATTTAGGGAATAGTCTGTTTAATAATAGACAATCAATAAACCCGTTTGAAACACTGCTAGCTTAAACTATAAGGCAAATAAATGGGGTTTAACGTCCACTCGACACATACTAGGTCATTTAAGGACTAACATATGCTTTAATTTTATGTCAATAATTAGCTTGCGCGTAGGCCCCCCCCCCCCCCCGTGATGTAATAGAAACAATTTGGACCAACTATACACAGCCAACAGGGCCTACTCATTATTTCGACTGCCAACTGTAATGGGATCTTTAACTTGCTGAGGTTTTTCGTCCCATCCGAACGACCAGTCGAGTCGCCCTGCACAAACACACATGGTAAACCGACTGAAATACTCCAGGGATTGAATCGAACATTGATGCCTCTCGTTTATAAAATCACATTTATTGGGCCTCCGTGCCCCACCCCCTGATTATATTGACTGTTCAAATTCCAGTCAATCTGATTAAAATACAGATCTATATTTCGTTTTTTTTATACTTTCGGTGGCCTCTACTACATGAAGATATGACCAGTTGTAGTAGGAGGTCATACCAGGGGTCATACGAGCGGCTTTTGACCTTGATTATTCTAGTGGTTTACCCACAGTTCCGTACAGAGCAAGCCAAGAACTTGGCGTAACAGACCGTTTCATTGGCTAATTCCTCACATCAAGCAGAACGCCTGTTATTTAACAACTCCCCCAGATCCTAGTGTAGTGAAGATAAGTAAAACAAAATTTTGAACCATAAAAAACGAAACGAAACGAAACAGGATCTGTGTTTTAATCAGATTGAATTCCAGTCTAAAATATAGTAAATTATTTACCTGTGTTTCGGCTAATTTTGACCAATCAGGAAGAAGGTAATATTTAATGCCGTCAATGGCGCCATCTAACGTCACGCCTCGTATCAACAACACAAACATCAATATGTAAGGACTTGTAGCCGTGAAATACATAACCTGAGAAAAAAGAGAAAACACGCCGAGATATAGAAAGGGCTACATAGTCAAAATGCTGAAAACGAAAATCTTTGAGAATTTGAAATTAATTTTTTGATTGAATAAAATATAACTGTAATATAGATAAATACTAGGTTTTAAATGTAAAGTGGTGCCGATGGACAACTCTCATTGTCTCTAAAGTTAAAACCTAGGGACTTTAAAATAATTATTTTTATCCATATTTTTTTTACTATTAAAAAAGTGTATATATTACTGCTCATTACGAGACTTTTTCAGATATTTTTGAAAATACATCAGATTTATTTCCAGCTATCCAACGACACCACGGTAAAAATCACATTAATATAAGGTCTTTAATTAAATCTGCAAACATGGAATACAAAATATTATCGGTGTTATAATGCACACACTGTTAACACCGATTCAATAGATCACCTTTCCGGAGCTCTTAATGCCCTTCCAGATGCAGAAATACACCACGATCCATGCGAGTAACAGACAGAGGGCCAGGTCCCACTTGACGTTGCCAGGAGACCCCACACCGCTGGAGAGTTGAAGGACTTTCCGCCTGAAGAAATTTCTACACTAGAATGGCTGTTTTATTATTAGTATGCGACTGTCACATATTCCGATATATGTGCAGCGCTGATTAGTTGCCGAATTGGCAACTATAAAAAAGCTATAAACGAGAGGTCAAAGAAGAACAAGATCACTGTACATAATGATGATGTGAAATTTTGTTGTGTTAGTGGTAACTCGACAGTTACACGATTTTCTTTTGAAAAATATTTACTCAAGTACTTGTTAATAAGGTTAGTGCAACAAGATAAATTTGGAGAAACAGATTTTTCTATGTTGTTAAATTTCATCAGCCAGTCGACTTTGTGTAGGGCCTACCAGTCATTGTGAACGTTCCGGGTGTGGTAGCCCATCGGTTCTAGATTAAAAACAAATAACTGATAGGGAAAGTTTGGGGACGTTGCGATGCCATATAAAGGCACAGCTTCTAAACTAAATAAATGGTTCTAGAGATGATCTAAGATAGAAGCAATGCCTAAATGAGCTGAAAACTAGAGCTTGCTGGGTGGACCTATAAGCAGTGTATCTTTGTACGAGTTCCAACGTTGACTTAAAGTTGATAGAATTAATTTCTTTATTCGATAAAACAATAACATATGCACACATGTACATTGCCGTGCGTTATACATTTAAATACAATATCCACAAAACTTAGAACATTATTTCTTCGAGGTTCGGTGATTCATGGAATCATGACAACCAAATCTCGAAGAATCATGGAACTTGCCAAACGTTTAATTGAAGGAGAAAAGCTCATAGTTAAACTCTATGTTATCAGAGGCACCGAAACGAGGGGGCGTCTTTAATCATTTATGGACAAAGAAATGTGCTTTTCAGCACTTAATAAATTCTAAATGTACAAAACCAAACATATCAATTAGCAGAATGTCAACCTCTCATCAGTGAAAATGAAAATGAAAATGAAATGAAAATGAAAAATGACATAAACCATAAACCATGAAATATTGATGGATCATGTTAAAAAAATATACATATTATATCAAAATATATAGCAAAAACAATATGATATCAAAATATTAAAAATAGTACAATATGGCCTGGTGTATATCAATATACCTTCATAGTTACAACTTAGTTGATGGCAAAAATTATGAACTAAGAGTTCTTTTATTTTTAACTTTTGATCTCGGGATAATTTAATTTCATCACCATCACCCAATAAATGTCAATATACGATTTACAGTAGGCCTTAATGACTAATATTTTTCAATATAACTTTAATATTCGCTATAACGAAATATTATAACTCAATTTGACTATATATGAATTTATGTTCTTGTCTATTTGACTAGAAAATATCGATATAAATCAATATGGAAAAAAGTTACACTTTACTAAAACAAACTTAGCACGAGAAATTAATTTAATGGTCCATTTGGTGATTTGAATCTGATCCAACATCTTTTATTTTGTATATAAATATCCAATTTAAATATTTAGCATGTCTGCCCAATATATAAAAAAATCTAAGACAAAAAATATCCGACGTATGATTTCATTAAAGTGTATCTTTTTAATAATTTATATAATAATAATAATATAGCTCATATACAACTAGGAAATATTTCGATTCATTATGCAATTTAGAAGGATTAAACATGGACTTTATTATACTACATGTACCTAGATTGGAAACATGCTCGGTATATCCCGAATACATGATAACTCATGATAAATTCTCAAACGAATTTTGCTTATGTCAAAATTTTTTTACTTATATGATGAAGATGTGTAGTGACTCACCCAGATTAAGAATAGTAAATGTTTTGGACGGTCAGTATTTAAAAAGTGGGTAATATAAAGATTATACGAAATCTTTCAAATTGTTTTTTATAAAAATTGCACAAAGTATTTCATTCATTATCTAAAACTTTCGAACCAAATGTCAAATTTCTAAAATCTACTTTTCAAATAATCTATTATAATGCAATATATCTACTTAGAATACTAATTTGGAATATTGTTTAATCTGAATTATGCTTCTTGGCAGAAACCTGAAGATCTTAATTCACGCTTATCTCTCACGGCCATTTCGGGTCATTTTTTAAAAACAGTAACAAGCTACCCGTGACGTTATTGATATTTTGTAGATCTAAACCAAGCCTGGGTGAGTCCTAATATTTTTATTCAATTTCTTTCCGTGAATGTTTCTATATATTCAGCCTGAATTATCTATACTTTATATAAGTAATATGGTCATTGTAGACTCACCTGAGATTGCTGAAAGTGAGCTTTAAATAGATTTATAAACTAGCAAATTCATTAATGACAGTGCATTCAGATTGATGCATGTGCTTATGAGTAAATAATATACGTGTATATATATTGAGGTATGCATATACATGTCATGTGCAAAATCCAAACCCTCGTCTTTTTAAAAAGGGAAGTAGAAATTAACAGAATCACAATTCTTGCTGTTTATGGATTAAGCCAAGTTTAAATTTATGGTTAATTTTCAAAACGATTTATGAATTAGGCCAAGATTCGACCCATCTTATGGACCAGGCAAAGTTTCAACCAAAAGATAAAGTTAAGTCAATCTTAAAAATATTGGCATTTATTTTTGTTTTTGAATTTTGCACAATGACATGATCTTCGAAATGAAAATAATGTTGAAAATTATACATACTCCCAAAATTCTGTAACGGAATCCATTACTTTTCCTGTCGCATTGGTGTTCAGGGTTAAGTTGTATGGTACCATATTAACTATCGAGGTATTAAAAGATGTTGTATTGGTCTCTGACAAGTTGGTCTGTCTTCTGGACCTAAAATCTCTACAGTTTTCCGTGTTCCAATCATTATTACAATGTGACCAAGGTAATACAGCTTGAAATGACGAGAAAAGGTAGTAGAAAGCCCAGGTAAGTATAATATTGTAATCACAGTTTAATAAAAACACGATGATTGCACTGGCATATCCAATACCTACAAAACAAATACACGGAGATGTTCAAGTGGGTCTTTAATATCAAATATATTAAAGATACATTATGTTAGATTTAGATAAAGAGCTAGCCATTCGTGCTATAATAGGTCGAACATAGATAATGTAAAATGAATAATTTGAACATTTCATTCAAATTACTCTATTGAGAGCGAAGATATTAGCCTTTGAAGGTTTGACAAGAAAGGCCTCAAATAGGCAGATTTAGCTCTTGCATAATGCATGTTTAAAGGTATAAACGTGCCGTTAATCATACATTATGCAAGAGCTAAATCTGTTAATATATTATTGCTTATAGGCAAACGTGTAAATATAATTTGTATCCATCAGCGAGTTAAGTTGGCAATCGACGAAAGTTCTGTATACATGGCAAGAGTGTTTAAGTAGATTTCCTGAAAGCGAGGTAAACAAAAGCATCACTCATCTTGTAATATGTTGGAATACATCCTTGCTTAAAGTATAAACAATTATTTAACCTGAGAATCACAATTTTGGGTCTTGTTAAACTAAGCGTGTTTAGCACTTTGAAACTGTACTTGGTTTGAATAAGATTATAGAGAATATTTTACCTTGAAATAATGGACATAATTTCCATGGTCCTATTCCACCCTCGGACATAAACTGCCCCAAAGATACTTCTAAAAAAAACACCGGTATACCACCTAATATCACAGCAATAAAATAGGGAATGAGGAAGGCACCTGAAAATAGAAATAAAGATCACCTTAACCAAATCATTAGTTTACCTTTATGGAAAGAGTTTGTCCAGTGTGTATAGTGATATCTTGGTTACAGGCAGTATCGTCTCGTATATAAAGGGTCTAAATTGCCGGGGAAAAATAAGTGAAACGACGTAACATTAAAACATGTCCATGTATCTTGGATCTTTTGAAAGATTAACAAGGTGTTATAAATATATGCCCACAGTAGGTAAGTCACCGGGCGTCTTCAATCCTGGACAATATATATATATATACATTTCAAGCAGATCGCGAACATTAAGTTGTATCGCTTGGGCGTTCACAAGAGTCTGCAAAAAGACCAAGTGCCATAACTCTAGGTGTGATCAACGGAAATTGTTGCAAATGGATCAAGGACATTCTAGCAGGTAATATCGGATGATAAATGTAGTCAGAGTGTTCACAAGAACTTTAGCCAGCGGTTGCCAGGCAAGATACGCCCACATTTTGCAAGATGCATAGAGAACAAGCTAAAATAACCCGCGAGTTTTCGTACATTCAGGGGCTATAATCCATGAAGTTACGGTCCGATACATGCCATAATATCGAAAGGTCCGAGATCTTCGGGGGATAAACCCGTATTACAAGTTTCGTCAAAATGGGAAAACAATTTGGACCTGTAGAGTGTCCACAAACAAATTGTAGGTGGACGGACGTCCGGATGGACAGGGGCGATGACAATATACGTCCGCATAAAAATGTGATCGTATAATAAAATCTGGTGCAAATATACCCATGTGTGTGGGAATAAATAACTCATTGATTTCTCAGTGTAAATTTTTAATTGCTCATAAAGAATTTTCCGAACCATTTTAATTAAGAGAAATCTGTTTCTATTCTAAACCTTATATATCAGCATTAATAATTAATGCTATTTCCAGCGACCTTTGCGTGCAGTATATAATTAAAAATAACAATCTATGTGAAAACACGGCGTCAGACATTCTAAAACGCTGATGAGAACGATTACAAATGACGGTATGGGTTTTGAAATACGATTTCTAATTTCTGTCGACGGTCATTTCAATAATCAATGAAAAACATTTACTAAACAATGAAAGCTGATCAGAAATAATTAAAATGTGATAGAAATTCATTGTGCTAACATTTATTATACGAAACATGTTGAAAATCGTCAAGATAGTTGTCTCATGACTATAAAAGATAGGTTATCCGGCACCGATAAATACGCCCACAATAGACTTCCTCTCAGGACCTTAAACGCTGTTTAAATTTAAAGTGAATCGGGTGACAAATTGACTTAGCTTGTAGGGCGTCCACAAGATTTATTCTAACGTTTTCAAGGGCCATAATTTGGCAGTAATAAATGGAAATCGCTGAAAATCAATAGGATTCTGCAGGACCTATAAACACTGTATTTAAAATTTGAAGTGAATCGCATGATAACTTTAGCCTCTGGGCGACCACAAGATTATAACGGCCATTCTGACCGTAATTATTCGAAATCGCTGAAAATCCAATAGGATTCTTTATGAATATGCTAACTTTAACCCGTGGAGCGTTCACTAGCAAATGGGTAAGACGGGCGGGCGGTCAGACCGCCAGGGTGACGACAGTATACGACCATGTTTTAATGTTGGCGTATAAAAACTTTATAAATTTCGAATCACCTTGATCTCGAGAGCATTGACCTATTAAAGAGAATCCGAAAATCGGTTAATAACCCTATGGAAAATGAACACTGTATACCCGGTAGATTTCAGGTCAATTTTATTACTCTACGCGTCAGAGAACACCCATATTTCAAAGGGGACGTATCATAAGAAATGCGTTTATCAGATATTTTTTTTTAAATTGAAATGTTTTGTGACCGATATACTTATAGCCTAAACTTGAAAATGACAAAGAATAATTTAACATTGGATGTATGTTTGCACGGGTGATTGTTCAGTCATATAAAACTCAAAGGAAATATATTCTTTAGTTATACCAGGATTTAAAATATATCTTAAGAACTAAGCAACGAACAAAAATACCATTGTTCAAATATATGAATAAGGACGCCTAGATTATAATGAACACAAAATCATGGATTTAATCAAACGTAAAATATAATATAATAATGTAATAAAAATTTACGGTAAACACGTGCTATGACGCACACACTGTGTATAAATTTACGGTAAACACGTGCTATGACGCACACACTGTGTATAAATTTACGGTAAACACGTGCTATGACGCACACACTGTGTATAAATTTACGGTAAACACGTGCTATGACGCACACACTGTGTATAAACACGTGCTATGACGCACACACTGTGTATAAACACGTGCTATGACGCACACACTGTGTATAAATTTACGGTAAACACGTGCTATGACGCACACACTGTGTATAAATTTAAAGTCAAAGTTTAGAGCCATTCCCAGGATTTTTCAAAAATTGGTCAAGGGCCATAAGTTAGCAGTAATTGCCGGAAATTGTTGAAATTGGATAGGCATCTTAACTTTATCCTCAAGTTCACAAGCCATTGTTGATTACGGGCGGGCCGGCGGGCCGACGGACAGGCGTGACAATATACGACTCAATTTCAATGTTAGTATGTAAAAATAAAATCAACATACCGCCTCCATTTTTATAACACAGGAAAGGAAATCTCCACACGTTTCCTAAACCGACGGAGAAACCAATACAGGCTAGCAGAAAATCAAATTTACGGTTCCAAGTTTCTCGGGTTTTTAGTTTTTCGTCGGTTGTAGATACAGTTCCATCTGAGGATGCTACATCTAAATTAGTAGCCCAGTCTGGTTTTTCACCGTTCATCAAGAGATGAGATGGATCATGTTCTTGCTTGCTCATCTGAAAAAGACAAATTTTACATTTATCACAGGGACTTAAATGGAAAGTTAATAAGGTGACGAAATGAAATGAAATGGGGTTTAATGTCCTACTGTACTGCTCCGACTAGGCTAATGAAGACGTGTTCTATGGGGGAAATTTTGCCGAGGAAGCGGCACTATGGCCTACTCTTATATCGAATTCCAACTGCCAAGGAATCTTTTACGTGGACGCTAATGTATACACGAGTCCCCGGTTTGTCGTACCATCCGCTGTCTTTGTCAGGCCCTCCGTCCTGCATCACTGACAAGTGGAAACCACGCCGAAAAATCCCGATGAACTTTTTCGGCCGATGCACGGATTGAACACCCGACCTCCAAAGTAGTAAGCCAGCGTCTTACCCACTGTGGAACATCGTTCATTAATGGAGAGTATACAAATGAGACTTTCAGATAGATAACGACTGAAGAGTATTTCAGTGATGAGGTTATGAAGTTACATAGGTCTGAGTTCAGTGGAACTGGATACAAAAATGATCGAATAATACACATATATAGTCCTTCGAATGGGACGAAGAAACCGGATACACGTGTGTACTCTCTGGCGTACACGTAGTGGAAACCTTGGCAGATAGAAACGTCGGAAAAAATTTCCACCATAGGCTCCCATAGCACACTGCTTGGTGTATGCCCGTCTTCATTAAAACAGCCGATGCAGAAATGAAGGACGCTACCCCTCCCCACCTCCACTATTATTTATACTAATAATTAACGTGGGCCTTTAGTAAAATGAGCCTTTAGATGGGTGGTAACTACGTCAATTAATTCATTCAGTCGATACAGAACGTTACAGAGGGTAACACACGACTGACCCCGAACAAAATCAACCGACCTATTTCGTAAAGATCTGAATTATTTTTTTTTTAAATGCTCAATGCATACACGAGTTTAACGATGCATTAGGATTTAGATTAATTAATGCACTCCGTGAAAAAGTGGGTTTGTTTACGGTAATATAGTTTGTTTACGGTAATATAGTTTGCACGTATAAAACATAACCTGTAAGATCGGACGTTATATTCGAAAACACGAAATTACCGTATATACCACATAAATTGAGCGCAGCGCGAATATTCCATTACTTTTATCGGTATGTTTCCTCACATATACACAGCTTATGGTTTATGTAATAAAACTATTCAATAGTTCAGTTATTTTACTTTTTATGATTATCTCTAGGGTATAAATAATTTGTTTAATAGCTGCAGACATTTCCCTATACAATTATATTTATAGACATATGGTGGTGGGTAATGAAAAACGGCGTGACGTAGGTGAACAGACAATTCAATTAGTGTTTATATAGGCCTATTCTTTAACACGAACACATTTATTTAAAACAGCTTTATGAGCAAATTTAATAACCACTATTCATAGCGCACGCTTGTTTTTTGGGGTTTTTTTTTTCATTTTCATACGTCTATAATGGCCTATCTGAGTTCGCTTTGTGTATCGTTTTAGTTATCCGGGTATTTGAAGTCGCTGACTTTGGAATCGGCGGTAATATTTATCGATCGGTAGAGATGTCTGAGTTTAAATTCTACACTGCGCTAACCTTGGGTGGAATGGAATATTCCACGGTAACGGTATTATAATATTCAACCTTTACCAATGAAGGACTTCATCAAAGATTTCCATGACGTCATCAATCCAGCTCGATGATCTTATTAGGAACGATTTTGAGCAGCAGTCAATAGGACTGATTATATATAAAGAGTCTATATAATTGTATAGCGTATATAAGTAAACACATAATATATGAGGTCTATTAGGTGTTTCTATTACCTATAATTTACAATTTTGAAGAGATAAACAGCTTCGTGGTGCTTGCTACAGAATCTGCTGTTATTGCAAGAAAATTTGCACCTATCATCATTCTGCAAAGCTCTATAACCAAATATGTGGTAGGCAAATAACAGCCAATAACCTTAATTATATAATACTCTTGCTATATAAGCAAATGAAACCAAATATGTGGTAGGCTAATAACTGCCAATAACGTTAATTATATAATACTCTTGCAATATAAGCAAATTAAATGGGGTTTAACGTCCCACTGTTTTGCTCCGACTGGACTAATGAAGACGGGCATACAGTGTGCTATGAGGGAAATTTTGCCTGGGCAGCGGCACCATGGTCTATTCTTATATCGAATTCCAACTGACAAGGGATACGTGTCTCGGGTTTTCGCCCTCCGTAAGGCACCACGGACAAGGGGAACCCACGTCGGAAAATCCCGATGAACTTTTTTTGGCCAAAGCAGGGATCAACACGCGACTCCAGATTAGCCAGAAAGCGTCCCTGTCTTGATTTAGAACACATCAAAAGATCAGACGGTGCCGTATAAAAACATTCAACTATCCTTTTTTTATTATGTACTTCTAAAATAGCGAACTTTGAAATCCAAAAAAATCGACAAGAATAACTTTTATAATATCAGTTCAAACTAGTAAATGTTCAATGTCTGTATGAATATTGCTATAATAAAAAATATCAATTTTATTTAACTGCTATAATGACTGTGCAATGATGAATTAATATTGGCGACAGATACAAAAACAATAGATTTTAATGTTCAATTAAATTAGGCCTTTTCAGATGTGGCTGCAAAAAAAAGTTAACCTATGTAAGAGATACCGACGTTCTGAGTTGAAATTTATATACGTGTCTGATTTTTGTTCTAAAACAATACGTTACGAAAATTAAATTTTGATTCCTCTCGAAAGTGAAACCAGATTATTTAGATAGCATGGCTATCACCCAGCAGCAAGCCATGAACATTTTTATTTAATTATTGTGTACTAAAACCCCCTCTTACAATCACAAGCTGTTCTCGAAAGAAACCGAGATCTTTGGGATATAAACCTACATTTCAAGTTTCGTCAAAATCGGATAAACATTGCGACCTGTAGATGTCCACAAACAAAAATGTGAGCGAACGGGTGGACGTCCGTCCATATGGACGAACGGGCGACGACAATGGAGACTTTTGGCAAGCGTAAATTCCTGGTCCGTATCACGTATCCGTATCGATTATGCTTGTGACGTCATCAATGGGTGTGTTTTTCTCATATTTACGTGATACGGCACACGGATACGACAGCACGTATCGACGGAAAGGGTCCATATAACATCGTCATCTTTTTACCGTCTTGTTTGTTACTTTTAGACGCCAAAATGTTGTGGTATTGCGTGATTATGAATCTATGGGTATCCTAGAACACGAAGGTGTATATTTGATGTGATTGTGACCATGATAAAGAATGGAATTTAATCATTATGTTTGATGAGCTTTTATGGGAATTTCCATATTTTTCCTTTCTGTCTGCATGCTGGTAAATCTACGTGCTAAATCTAGGGAGGTGGGACCTTGCAAATCTCTAAATGATGTGATTCTATGGTAAATGATACATTAGTGAAACCAAAAGATGCTGTCGAGTCGAAGTCGAATAAATATTCGACATTAAATGTTTTTTTAATAGCTCAGCGACTGTCAAGCGACTTTACTCCCTCAAGGCATTTGTAGGCAGGCACTTGACTAGTACTGATGGCGATCTTGGTAGTTAACTGCCATCATGCTGTAATAGAACTAAACTCAGCTACTCATTGGTACGCGCCGGGAAAATCTGCCAAAACTCTAAAAGTACATTGACGCAACGTATCACGTGACGATACGGAAACGTGATACGGAATGGAAAAAAATCCGCTTGCCAAAGTCTCTAATATGAAAATGTTGACGTATAAATATGAAAAAAGCTAATTGGTCCCCCCTTTTACTTTACACTCGACATTTAAAACTTTCCATCAAGTGGGAAAGACCTGTAATGAAATAAACTTTGGAAAATACGAAAAGGCTTAGGGAATTTTTCGAGGTTCGTTTTAAAAAAAAAAACATTTTGTAAGTTGTCAATTTACACAGCAGGTATGTGCGAGACAGTCATTCGCTATGTACAGTCTTGGTAAAAATAGAAAGCTGCCATTTGTTTTGGGCTCAGTAAAACAATTTCGAGAGCTGGAATGTATACTCACTTCTAAAGTACGGGTACACTAAACGTACTGCCACTAGATATTATCGTCTACTGTTAATAACACGTAGGCTTTAAAGATGCCTTCCAACGAAAATATCAGGTGTTTTTTTCCAATATAAGTATGGCAAATTTGGTATAGGTAAAGTATAGACAACCAATTTCCTGGACAAACACCACGAGGACAAAAATGTAAGGTGGTCACCGTCGACACGTGCGCCATTTGTCTGCTAGAATGACGAAGTGGGCGTTTGGTATTGTTAATCGAATGGCTACTAGAGGTTGATATTTTTATAGCTTAGAGCAGTTTTATTCAGGTTAAAATGTTTTGAAGCAAATATTTGATCGATAAATTAGTTTAAATAAGTTTTTAGTTCAAATATACCACCAAATCACACAGTTTGTATGTGGGAAGGCATCTTTAATTTGCAACTATTTTATATCCAATATAATTGGTTGTGGAGGGCATGCAATACATATATCCCTCTTAGTTCTTAGGGTATCCATGTAGATCAGAGTTCGACTTTCAAACACTGCAGTATATGGCTACAATGTTAAAAAAAACAAAATGGATTTAGCGTATAGTAAGCGATTTAAGAATCTCATTCACCGTTAACCAGGCTACTTACCATTGATTCTTTTTATGATGTTTGCGAAAACATCTGGCGAGGGAAGTTATAATGAATAGCATAGTATCACATATACATTATAGCTTAGTAATTATATTGTTTACCTACACTAACATACCATATTTTACATCCTCGCACTGTTTGGGTCGGCGATCATATTTTATTCATATCATTCGAGGTCTATCGGTACTTCCACTCCGGCTTATATCTGATGAAACGTTGCAATGTTTTAGATTCACCCCCCCCCCCCAACCACACACACACACACACCTCCCATAAAATTACTAAACACCAATACGTTTATTCGC